TTCACGAAGCCTGTTTACCGTATCGCCACTCAATTGCATATTCCCACGTTACGTTTCAGGTTCGAGGAGATTCCGTGGCGGAGAGCCTGGTGATGGATGAACGTAAGCAATATCTAACAAAGTCAGCGTGCAAACTAAGTTGTAGGTATAGAGAGAGTGAGAGGGGAAGGGGATAGCAAGGGACACGCGGACGGATTATGGACGGTTGCGGACCGTGGTCCGCGTGCGGTCTCCACCAGCGGAGGTTTAGGCGCGTGCGAGCCGGATTTATGGCCCCCATTATGACGTTGACGTATCGCCTTCGTGAGGGTCCTAAACCAAAACCCAAGGCGGATCTAAGCTCCGTGTATCTAAGCCGAGAGAGCTAGCCACAGGTTACCACCGCAACCGAGGACGAGAATATTCGAGATCCCCCGATCCAACCGTGGACCACCCGTGTCCGATAAATGTCCGTGTGGACGGAGGCTTTTCTGGGACATATTCGGACTCGAACTCGAATCCAAGGTAAGGGCATTCGTATTGGTACTGGTGAACAAATAAGATGAACGAGAAGAGGGCAATTCTTTCGGAATGTATCTTGTTTCTGAAAGTTGTTCCTATTATTGTTGTGACTAATTTTATTTGTCTTCTGCAGGTAATACCACTACAGAAACTCATGCACTATTGGTAAGGAGGCTCAGCTCCCAGGTACAGCTCATCCCCGTCGATTAAACGATTCTTTCATATATTACCATCTTCATTATCATTTGAGTAACACGGTATTCCTACAACACTGTTAGAAAATTGTGTAGAATAGTGCAGTTTTGTTGGTTTTTGGAACCTAAGGCAATCCACATTCATCCTGCCCCTGTTTCTGTTTCTTCGTTAAGAACGTTACCATTCGAAGACAAGGCTACCATTTGGCCGAAGAGAAGTGTCCATCACAACCCGACAGTATTCGACCACCTTCCACGATGTGATATTCCGAGACAATTCCTTCGGGAACGCGTACCCAGTCAGATCCTCGAATCCCACACCGGTGGATCCCAGTTGTCCATTAACTCTACGCCCTTTAATGCATCGTCCAGACCTGGCGTCCGCAACCTCCTCGGTATTTTGACAGTCGTCGATGCGTGACGCTGCCCACTATACGTCGCCTGATCCATTTTGCACCGCGATTTATTCGCGTCACCCCTCGAACGTCACCCTCCCCCTGGGCTAGAAGACCGCCGTGGTGGCTACCACCCCCTAGTATTTCATCGAGGAAAAAGAAGACAGAGAGAAAGTCGTCATCCAGCCTAACCGGAAGTGGACGAAGTGCTGCAATCCCGCAAGATGTGTGGCTCCGCCCGGAAACGGGTTGCTGGAGGGTATAAATTGAATCTGGGGCCGACGTCGCGCATCCGACGCGTAAAAGCGACTTCGCACGCCCTTTAAATTCCCGATGCGCGATTCTTTCCGTTTCCCCCCACCGTTTCGCCAGACCAGCCATTACGGGCCGGAAAACGCCAATAATTCTCGCTGCCAGCGCCGTTACTGGCATACCTTCGTTCGACTGAACCCCCTACTAGGGGGTTCTTGCGGTTTCTAATTCGATAATGTCAATCTACCGGCCTCGTGAGACGTTTCAACTGTGTTTCTATCGTGTGTCTCTGACGAACGTAGAGATGATTACATGAAACATTACATGTTCTCGACTTGTGACACTTTTCTTGCCTTGGTGCAGTATGGTTAAGTACACATTCGGACAACGATTTTTATATGAAATCTTCCGTTAGTAAATAGGTTATAGTGAATGTATTGTAGGTACTGCATAGGTACAAAGCAACCCAAATGAAAGACCTAAGGGTATATCATTCAGACAGTAAATTCTTGAGAAGTGTTCGAAGGTTTCCCGGCACTGAACATGAAATATTTCAGAAACTAATAGCTATATGTGGCTGAAACAAATATCATTGGCTTTGGAACTCCAAGTTCTATCACTCTACTAAACCTCATTAAAAAGCCAGCCTTACACCTGGGGACTTTTCCTCGTCAGTGGAAAATTCCTATTTGTTCATATTAAAATGCTGCCTCATATTGTAATTATGTTTAAAAAATAAATAAAGAATACTTTATTTGTGATTGACAGTTCTTTTCATCTGCACAGTTTCTCTTCCATCCGAATAATTACGTGAAAGAGTGGCGCATAAGCCAGCGATATTGAAAGTTCGAGAAATGTATCTATTTTATCCGGCGGGCTCGAGACACGCGGGAACTGGATACGACGTATGCTAGTTCGAGATTCTGGCAAACTCTCCCGAGGGGAAAGCCGAGGATATTGAATATCAGATCGCGTGTCTCCCGGTGTGTTTATTCGCGCGACGCCGAACCCGGCTGCGGCACAAGGAAACAAAATCCCGTGCCCGAAGGGTAGTACACGATCGCACAGTGGAAAGTCTTTTTATCGCGGGCCGAACGTGATTGAGGATAAGTGTATAAAGTCGCTGCACGTTTTAACGCCCCTCCGCAAAAAAAAAAAACAAGGAAGGAGCATACTACTTGCGTATTGTCTTTGTACGACAGGAATATTAATTTTATTTTTAAATATAAGAAAACCTTTAACCCATTTCCCTCGAGTAGCTACACACACCTTCAAACATAATCTTCCGATTCTACTTGCAAATCAATACACAAAAAAACATTAAATTCTACATAAATATGTGCAGTCAGTACGCCAAAAAATTCTTAGCTGTCATGCAAATTGTTAAATTAACTTAATTTTGCACGCGAGAAAAAGAACTGCAAAATCAAAAATGATCATTTCCTAGCATTTGGAACAAAGTCATCCCAACGTACGATACCCTAACTATGGACACTAGGCTGACGCATCTAGATCGATCGGTCCAAGACTTCTCGAAGTCAAAAAGTCATTTATACAACACAACGAGAGAAAGTCCTCGGAACGAAAGAGTATCAGAATCCATCGAGCACAGTTCCACCCCGTCAGCGCGAAGTACCGACCCCTTTTCACAGGAGGCAGCGAAGCCAGATCTCCGGTTGTACGGTCAGGAGATCGTAGGTAGCTTTACATCGCCGCGTGTAGCTACGGGGGTACACGCCGCCACCGGGAGACAAATGGCGGCGGTTATCTCTGGGAGCGGGTGGCCGGGGGTGGTAGGTAGAGAAAGATAAAGAGAAATACGCGGAGAGAAGACTGGAAATCGCTGGAGAGCAGATGGGTGGAGGGGTTGGTGGCGGTACGAAGGGGGGAAGGGCGGGGATAGGGCACAGACAGGGAGTCGAGTAAGGAAGATGGGATGAAAACATCGATTGCAGGGGCTTGTAACACCGCGGTACGAACAGAGGGATCAGGCCAAGCGATAAACCAAGCGGCCTGGAAAATGCCGGATCAACGGCGCGATGTTTCAGCAAAAACTGTCTGGAATCGGTACAGCCTTGGCTCAAGGAGACCGAAGAGAACTGGGGGGTGGCTGTAACGGGTCAGGGAAAGAAGAGAGAGAGAGTTATGCTCCTCGTTTCTGCCTAAGGTCCTATCCTCCTCCTCCACTCCCACGTGGACCTCAGTTAACCGTATATATACGTGTATATACGTACCTATCGCGTTATATGCGACATTATATCGCTTACCTCCCTTAGACTTCAACCCCCTCAGCCCCACCATTCCGCCGACTACCCCAGGCCGGCCGCGAATCCCGACGGATTTATGAGAAAAGTAATACGAATTAAACTGACGTCTGTTCCTGTTCCATCTGTGTGTATACAGGGTGTCTCGCGAAATTTGATGCCTGGTATATTGAGGGGAAATCAATTAGATACTATCAACTCTACGAGTGTGTACGAACTATGTGTCGTGTTAAATTATTTACAATTTTTTTATGTTTGCTTCCTTGAAGTTGCCTATGTTAATCGTATCGGAAAAGAATGGACTCTGAATGTTAACGGCGTAAATGATGTTTGTTATTTTACTGTTGGTTTTAGAGAAGATACGAATGAGAATATCTACGATTAATTTATCAGTGTTATTAAGCGGTTGTTTATTGTAGATTGTGGATTTCGTGTGACTAGTACATATAGCAGTAACTTAAAATAAAATAATTCTTTAAAGTGTAACAATGTGCCCCTTATTGTAGAGATTAGGAAGAAAGATTCAGATGAAGCATTTAGTCCTTTATGCTATCGATTATATAAGAGTGGTTTGAGAAATTCTGAACTCGATGTAACAAACATAGTACAATTTGAAAATTAAGGGGTTTATTGATAAATCAACAATTCTGAAAATAGAGACTGACATCTATGGTGGAGACGACGAAACACCTGAATCGATGAAAACATTTCAACTACGATTGTGTTACCATCTACCAATGTACTTTTCTGTCACATGCTTTGGGGGCTCTAGAGCCCCGTTACCATTGTATCTAGTGGAAATACCCGACGTTACCGATAAGGCATGAATTATTATCACAGAGGTATATGTAAAATGACTGATAGAATGTATCACCGAAGATGTGATTGTTATAAATATTACATTATCGACAATATTTAATTTATTGTAAAATAATTTCGTGCGAATTAATGTAAGCCAAAAATTCTATTCCAAAACCTGTAACAATTATTGTCAACGACAAAAACAGTCAACCGACGATCGAAGAATTCCCATTTTCGACAAATTTAACGATTCATTTCGTACAAATTTCTGTGTACCTCGTAAGAGCTCGTTTATTGTAGCATAAGAATGTATATATGGACAAAAACCTAAATCAGGGTAGTAGAGCTACAGGAACTTGAAAAATTTTCTATAGCAGCGCATATGTTTGAACCCGCCAAATCATATTACGTACACGTAATGTGAACGACACTATAAAGCTGAAAGAGTATTCATCAGATTCTTAAACAAATTGAATCTCCCGCCGAACCACGTTTCAGGCGTCACGTGTCAGTGGCGACGTCAGCGGTGATCATTGACACTTTGTATGAACGGCTGATTCTGATCGATAAGCAGCATAATTCCGCCGCGTCCTCAACAGTTCTCAAAAAGGGCATCGAAATAAACATTACGTGTTTATGTGGTTAATCGAGCACGATAACGTTACTTATCAGCATTCCACGGAACGAAAGCACTGGCTGCAGTCGCAGGTATGTCAATTACATTGCTTTAATTCACCTACTATCCTTTATTCTAAATAATATCGCGGAGAGCCACGTTGTACATTCCGCTTCCGCCTTTACACGAAAAGCTGACGCAGCAACAGCCGGCACTAGTTCGCTTACGCGCGCGTACGCGCATTTATGACGTTTAATGTACCTATACACTTGTAAACTCTTCGCCACATATTTAGAAATATGTATATTACTTTGCATATTAACTTGTTAACTATATCGTTACTGTTTCACACAGTTTTTTATCTTTATTAAAGTAATATTATTGTATACTTTTACCTTAAGGCGTACCTTATTAACGCAGTATGTTGGGAAATTAATAAAACTGACATTAAAAAATAAAACCGATAATATTATATATAAATAAATAATTTTAAAAAATATGAGAATTATGATTACATTGATATTGAATTATGTAACCGTTTTTTAAATAACCGTTACTTCAAGATATCAAAGTGAATTTTTAAAACGATATAGATATCGAAGTGAAGGTCATAAGGTACTATTAATAAATTAAACAATGTATGAATATCATTGCACGGAGTAATTCCTACAATAAGTTCCGATTTGATAACGGAAAATACAATATATAATGCTCGTTCTCACCAATTTGAAATGCAGATACGCTCATACCGCCGTGTACGTAACATCAGTCTTAATCCAAACGGGATTGTGTGGCGCGGATTGATTTCTGATAATCTTCGTTCCTGAATGTGTCATTAAACTTTTAACGTATCGTGATAATTGTTAACAATAACAATTCTGGTTTATTATCGCTGAAATTCTTGGACGGTCTGTGTGCTCGGTTCGAACACTCGCGACTGGATCTGCTGGGTGTTCTGGCTACTGGCGCCACTTGTGTCCAATTCGAGAACCTCTAGAGCGAGCCTACGTAGGGCGGGACGATTCGGGTAATTCAATTTTTTATTTTCACGATTGAAAATTTCTCGTTAAAAATAACATAATTATAGCCTTGATAAATGCACAAAGAGTTATAGTGTGTTTCATGTTAATATTATAATTTCTCTTGGTGTTTTGAAATATTCTATTTGTTATTTAGGTTCAGTTATATTCACGTTGATTTTTTATACCAGTCAGTTGTATTTAATGTTATTATACTTATATAATTATACAAGCAATGCGTCGAAAGGTCTGCGAAAAGGTCAGGTATTTTAATTCATTAATGAAAACCAGTTATCGTGAACTCCGTCGAACATTCAAGTAGGCAATTACTAAATCTTCTTGAACTCCCTACTTACGAATCGTTAATATCACAGCTACCACTCCGTAGAAGATACTCCGTAGAACAATTTGCGATCGACTGTGAATATTTAAGCAACTGTTAAAAACATATTTTCACGTTTACAAGCTATGTTGTTACTCGGATGAGACTCTCGATCGATGTTTGAAACATGTATGAAATACATTTGCATTTTTGCGAACATTTGCATTTTTAAAGTTCCGCGTGGAAGTGAAGGAAACAGGAAAACGTTTTAATCGTGGCTGTATCATCGAGTGCGTCGATAGCCGAGAGCGTTTACATAGTTTATTGCACCGATAAACATAGATCTACGACCAGTATGATTCATCGTGTGATTATTACGTGTGATGCACACAAGTTCCAAGAATTCACGTTAATTTGTGCACATCGAACACTTTTCTTATCCCATTGAAAAACGAAGTATAGAACTTTATTTATAGAAATGATCATATCAAAGACCTAAGTTAAGAAATTCAAATTTTCAGAAGCGGAAATTAACGTTGTGTGTTTCAGATTTTATAAACCAGGAACTCAATGTACTTAGAATGCAAAGGGTAGATTCCTATTAACTTTTTCATTTCAATTCAACTGAAGCTTCCAACAGTTTAGGACAGATCAAGCGAACGAGCTCGCTATCTTCTCCAGCCACGTAATTACATCAATGGCGTTGACCTCGTTCGCGATTGTCATTCGGAGACATCATCGTTCGTTGGACAATCCGTTCTGACAGCGAGACAATTTTCACGTTAAATTTTTGCTCTGTCGTTTCTGAATTTCTAATTGGTAATTGAATTCTTAACCGTTTCTACACTGAAAAAGTATGTCCCCTGGCGAAGAAATTCAAATTTCCCGCGTGAACGAAAGATTCTTTGAAAAACAGCAGAGTACGATCAATTCGGTTCAAATGAAATGAGTCGATATTAGTTAAAGATAAAAGTTTCAAACAAATTTACAATATTACTTGGAAGTTATATATGAATTTGTTTTAGAAATGTCACACAACACCAATGGAAAGTGCGATGCGGAAGTGGATAGGGTTCCCATTTTCCGGCCGGATGAGAAGATTCAAGGGAGGCTGAACACTTTGGCTGCACACTTCAAGAAGAAGTACGATGTTCGACCTTCATTCTTCGTCAGAGTTCCAGGAAGGTATTTAACACTTCTAAATATTTAAAACCGATAGTGATATTAAGTTCAGTTACCTGGCTATTTTACCTAGAACACAGGATGCTTTTTTTTATTTGCAATTTCCAAGGTTCTTAATTTGTTTAACTTGACAGGTTCGTTTATTTTTGCTGCGTCCTCCTGTCGGTTATGTTAACTAGTTATTATTTTATCTACAGTTCTAAAATACCAAATTGAAATCATAGCAAATTGAATTCTAATATTGTTCGCTTAATGGTTATTTCCGCCGTCCCCGATGACTTCCATTTACCGAAGGGAGTGGGGAGGTGATAATTGAATTTATTTTGTACGTCCGTTCATAGAGTTAATTTAATTGGCGAGCACATTGATTACTGCGGATACGCTGTTTGTCCCATGGCCATCGAACAGGACATTCTCGTTGCCGTGGCTGTCTCGCCTGACAATGAAATACGTCTTACCAACCTGGACTCCAAGTATAAAGATTTCCAGTGCGACTTTAAAGATGTCAGGTAAGTAAGCCCTTTATCGTATAATCTTTAATAATACCATGTCCCTTCCTGATTATCTTCGATCATCCGCGTCGAATCCTCCTAATCATCTTTGGCCTACCTTCTCAAATTTCTCCGGTTATCTTTTCACCGACATTCTCGTACCCTTCTTGGCCATGCTTGGCCAACTTTCGCAAATTTCCTTTGATGATTACTATAAATCCTCGAGAAGGTTTAAATAACCATTGAGGTTAATGAATGTGCGTTAACTTCCTCTTGAATTTTGCGTGATGACGGCTAGTCCCCTGTTTAAATTAACACTATCAGCTACCAGTTTATTTCAAGTACGTATTTTTTAGTCTTTGAACTTTACTTTAGCACACTTCTATTTATCTCTTCGATCAACCACGAAGACAACAATATAGTCACTAAAAGCATTTGTGTACCTACACTAAAAGTTTTATCACAAACCCCTTGGTGACTGATTCTACATATAAATAACTTCAAGGATCACTATAAAAAAAACCGTGTACCTATGTTTTTCGATCAACCATCGCTCGCCTCGGCGGGGATCGATTAATCCCCAAAAAGAATAACAACAGGATATTTTTCGCCGTGGCACCGAGAGCTACGAGGAAAACCTATTTCTGGCTCCGATAATCGAAACTTTCGTCGCGCCGCGGTTCTGTATTTTCCTTCTTTGGCGAAGATTCGCGGAAAGTTACTGCAAAATTTCCACCTCCACGCGCCGCGAAACATCGGAATGCAATCTCTCGGGGCCGAGGAGAAATTTCTGACCGGTTGTTGTGCATTTCCTCTCGCGGGAAGGATAAAAATGAAACGCTCGTCCCGACGACGTGGAACTAATTCGTCGTTGGAAACGTTTCCCACCTGAATCTGTCGCGTCGGATTAAAGGGATCGCGATGACATGAAAAGTGGAACAATGAAAGGCAGCGCTCGTTCTCCCGTAATTTCATTATTTCGCCGCGATGCTTAGCGGCCGTCAATTGGAATCGCCAACAGCGCTGCGGCTGCGAAGGAAATAGACAAGGGAACGATCGTTACAACATGACCGTCGGAATTTCCCCGTGGAGAATTATTCTTCGCGGGGCTGCAGACTCGAGGAATCAGCGAAACGTCGAGATGTCACGCGGGTAGAACCCGGGAGAGATTAGGGGATGGGGGTGAAATTCAAACGAGGACGCAGGACGAAATGTCTGGAGAACCGTTTGATTCGTGTTTATAAAATATAATAAGTTGTGAAGATCTTCCTACTTTTGAAAAGATGATTTTTAGAGAATTAATATAATAGAAAACTATCTCTAGCAATCCACAAAAGGGGCTTTATTCATTCTCGATTGCGGTTCTCCGTTTTCCATATCGAATCGGTATCATTTTCGGTCGTTTTGCAATCGGTCAGTTTCAAAGGAACTCGCCCGTAAAACGTCGGAGGGAAAATATTTGCGGAAAAATAACACGAACTGGAAGTTGGTTGGATGTGATCAGAACAACAGTTGCCGCGTTTGTTGCTTATTACGTGAGAATTGTCGCGAGTTACTTACAGCCGATTCTCTTTATTGAGCGTGAAAATGCTGTGTGAAGAACCTCGTAGAGCTCATAGCTCACCGGCGGCTTCATATTTCTGAAACTTATTCGTGGCGACCGAACCGAGAAATTTCTCAAGCGGTTCTGGGCTCTTTCATGGATCGTTTAAAAGTGCAATTCCCTGTACGATCGACTACGATAAGTTGAAACGGAGTCACTGGAATCGATGTCTTTACGACGATCGCTGGTTCTACTAGGTTTCTTTAAAACCGATTTTCATCCGTTGCCCCGTTACGATCAAATTGGCCTAAACGTTCTTTATTAATTTCCTTCAAGTAGAGAACCAGTCTTTCGTTCCTCAAATCAGGGATCACGAGAGATTCTGCTTTGGAATATTTTAATTCCCGAATAAATGAAATCGTAGAGATATATTAAGCATTCACAAGAGATCAGACTACAGTTTATGAAATCTCGATGAGGCAGAAAATGGAAAATTTTATTATATATCAGTGCCAAGTCTCTTAAGCGTTTCATTATTATACGAAATTAGGATCAGAATTCGACAAGCAAATTTTAGTGTTCAATTTTAGAAGCAATTTAGTCTTCTGTTCGTAACCTGAATACAATAATGCTCCAGGGAATAGAAGCAGAACTTGTTGCACCGTCTCTGATTAATCCTTTTCCCGTCGAGAAGAAACCGTAAACTTTCCCGTAAAATAATCGCGGTCTCTCCGACGAGAGAGAAAAACAAACTAATGAGAATGAAAAGAGTAATATGCAGGCGGGCAGCGTAATTCGCGATCTTTCTGTTATACCTTTCATCATTCTCTGTAATTCCTCCCGGTATCTTCCCGACAAATTCATTCGTTTGTACCACTGGCGTTTGTAAACGATGTTGTAAATGGAAATATTTCTTATAACAACAATAGAAAAACATTGTAATATGCGAACATAAATGTTTCCTTCGTTTAACAAATTTGAAAAGAGTTAGAAAATTTTCCATTAAAAGTACACAAAAACAAATTAAACTTAGCTAATGTAATTATAAAAAACACGGTTGAAATCGTAAAGTCGTCAATTTATGCAAGTGGCTCAAATAATTAGACCATCCAACTGTATGTTGCGCTGTTTGTTATGAGACGCGCCCCTTGTAATAATTTAAAGGCACTGGGGTACTAAGAAGCGAGCTAAATTCGTAATTTCCCGCAGCGTTTGCGTCGAGGACGCCGGCGGTGGCCCGGACTGGTACAAATATTTCCTCTGCGGCGTGAAAGGCGCCCTCGAAGTGATCCCGGAGAAGGGCGTGCCTTCGGGGATCCTGGCTGCAGTTTGGGGAAACATTCCTCCTAATTCAGGGCTCTCGAGCTCGAGCGCTCTCGTCTCCGCCGCTGTTCTTCTTACCGTTCACGCCAGTCAGGTGAGCAACGCCCTTCCCTGTTATCTTTTTCATCAGCTAACATTTATACGAACCTACGTTCCCCCGTAATACACGTCTGAATACACGTTCATCCATTCCCCTTGAATTTACGTTCATATCATTTCCTTTGAATGCGTGTTCCCCTAACTTTCCTATCGACAGTTTGCGCGTCACAGAACATAAATGATAAATAAGATAAAACCCCGTGTAACACGGTGGTTACGTACCTATGAATTAAGTTATGAAATTAATACCGAAACCGATATTACCAAAATCGATATATTACCGAAAACCAAAATAAATACCGGTATTTTTTCGGTTTTTCTATTATATACGTGGCAGGGACTTCTACCTGGAAGTCCCTGGTTTCACGATGTCTATTATTCAGGGAGACCTATACGTACATACAAAATACAGGATTAGATTCCGAAAACTAACAGACCTACACTATTCTATACAGTTCTGTAACAATAAGTGTGTCAGAGTGAAATAGTGTTATGGGAACGCCGTGTTATATTGGAGTCGCCTGCTACGTCAACGGAAGCAAATTTTACGATAGAAATAAATCGAAGAAATTCCAAACTGGTTAGACGTCATAAGACGAAGTTGCCCTTTAAGTTTCGTCCCTTAAAGGTTGAAACTTTTTTAACAACCCTTAACGCACGGGGAAACGCTTAGAGACCGGTTCTCGAAGGGCGTACGAGTTTCAGACTTGCCACAGTTAGGGGAATCTCCATGCAAATAAGCTTGTTCAACACTTCGAACGAAAGTTTCAATGTTTCAGTTACCTCGAAAGTATTCGATCATCGTTTGTAATCTCACGTATGAAAATATAGTGTTTAGTAATGTTTGCATTGATTCCTTTTCGTTCGTTCCAATTTTTAGGCTGGTCTTTGTGGAGTCAGTAAGGGAGAGATGCATTACCAGAGTTTAATATCACTGGATTCTATAACGGATCGTCACTTAATAACTCGCAACGAGTTAAGAGTGGAGATTTCGGAGTTTGAACGTGATGCAAACTTCAATACCCTCGTGAGGATATCCTCTACACTGGTCGGAGGAAGTTTCCAGGAATCCCAGTTCCCGTAAGTCCTTGCTTAACCATCGAGCCCTTCACGTAGATCCTGAGTATTAATAATCCTGTGGCAAGGGATGGTTTCTTCGCTGCTGAAAGTAATTAAAATATTAAATTGTACAAGTAAGTTATTGCACGATAAAGTGCCAAGTACTGATTCACGAAGAAATTGTGGATGTTGCGCGTAAAGAGGTTTTATTATGTAACCACCGACAAGTCTACTAACAAGCAAACTTTTCTTTTAATTATTCTTTTGGCCAAAGGGTTGATCTTAATTTAATAATACCTCTCACCGAACTGGAATTTATATAAAACAGTCTTAACAGAGACTGAAATTAATGTGAAAGTCTTCGGGTACCGTGTTTTAGGTGAAAAAATATTTAAAATTAAATATAACATCAACTAGGGGTTAATCGTTACAGTGAAACAGTTTAAAATTTATTTGCAATCACTATCGTTTAACTTCACAAAAAATACTTTCCTAGATAAAGAAAAAACGATATTCTTCAGCGAAACGAATCGTTCGCTAATCGCAGCATGTATCATTGGCACAATCCACCGTCCCAAATTGTCCGAGATTCCAGCTAATTACGCAATAACGTCGGCTAATGAAAGCTGCCGACCGCCATTTTTACCTTCGACCGTAATATTTCACCTGGTGATCATCCCCCTTTTCCTATTCACGCTCGATGCGAACGTTAATAACGTTTAAAAAATGACTGGAAATTTCTTCCCCAAGCCACCTCTGGGGATTAATTTCCTCCCCCCTCTCCTTAGAGGGTTCATGGGGCAGCGATCAACGTTCTCCACTGTCTGGAAAGAAATATCCTGACGTTTTACAGAGGTATACGATCTGTTTAGCGTCGCCTCTGAAAGAATCACCCTTGCAGAAGTTTTATCAAGAACGGGAGGGGAGGGATTCAAAAGAGCTAATCTTTCACCTGAAATTGCCTTTCCAGATAATCGCTGAGTTTCTGTTCGCTTTATACCAAGAAAACGGGTAATTGTCAGACGAAATAGTTACCACGTGTTGCACCCGCGAATATCAACAGCAGAATGTTAAGACATACAAAGTCAAAATGTTGACTATGCTCGTCACGCGCGGAACTTCTGTATTCCTTTAACATGCACGTGTGCTTTACGATATTGAATTTCTCGAACGCCTTCCCCGTAAATTCACAATAAATTAAACGCCCCGCTGGAACACTGCAATTAAGGGACTTTTATGAAACCCGGATAGTGCTCAGAGGAAGAGGACTCGCCGATTTTATTATTATTCCAAGAGGATCTCTTTCCTCGGTGGATTACTTAAGGAAGTTCGATCGTAATAGAAGAGGAATTTCATGGCGATAGGGACGACAGAGGAATTCTATAGGAAACGCGCACGTGATGCTCTTCAAACTTTTTTCACCTTACAATTACACCTACCGAAGGATTTTTACGAACAAGATTCTTACGACTTCGATGGATATTGAACGATTTTTTTAAATCGAACCCTTTTTTACATATTCCTACCACCTCGTGCCAATGGAAGAATTTCATGAGAGTGTCTTGGGTTACAGAAAATTCTTCTCATTATCTAGTATAATTACTTCGCTGTGGGAAGTCAAACAGACTCCTTTTATTCGCCAAACGATTCCGAGCTTTAAACCGAGAAAGAAAGATATTTCGTTGAAGGTACCAAAAGTGTTTCGCCAACAGCCCCCGAGCAGCTTAACTTCGAGATAAGAGAGACAATGCCTGCGAACTTACGCAACAAAAGGGGGAGAGGGAGAAGCAACCGCGCGACTCGACGGTGTGTTTATCGAGCGAATCACCGAGCACACAATGTTCCTCGTCGAGTCGCCATTCGTAAGGTAACGTGATTAACAATCAGCACGAGGTATCAGACGTCACGTTTCCCCGACTCTGGTGTCGCGACTGGAACACGTACACACACGTCACCCAATTCCTGGACCCCAAAGTGTATTAAGTCATACTTTTCAAACTTTAGAGGAGAGAAAATCAAAGGTGCGAAAACCTTGTAACTTTGGAACCGTTCGGTAAAAAGGGAGCGAGAAACAATCGCCACCTTCGAATTATTGAATGGATTTAAGACAAGTCTCTATACGTAGAAATTGTGAACTTTGCATTAATCCCCTATGTGATGAACTTTACACTGTTTTAAAAATATGAACTTAATATCATTTTTAGACTATTATGTACCTATATTAAAAACTAGACGATTTAAAACGAAATAATTTGTACCATCAGAAAGGGTGAAATATTTGATACAGAAAACATGAAAAATGTCATTTTTTCAAAAAGTGGATTTAATATACTAAGCGGCTGCCATGAGATTTGATAAAAAAAACTAAGGTTCCCTATTTAGTGAAGATTTTTATTTATAACTTACACAAAAATTAAACTGTTTATACTGAACTTCGCACGTGTCAAAATGAGAAGAAGACAATTACAAACGAATAAGTAAGAACGCTTCGAATGAAAGTAACACCAACCAAGTACGACTAAATTCTTTGGTTAGTCCTATAAACAATTCAGCCAAATTATAGAAAAATCTGTGTTTATCACTTCGTAAATATCCTCTATGATGTAACCCTACTTTCCGATCACCCTTGATACATCAAGGAGAATCTGAATTTTCGTTGGAAAAGTAGAATCTGGCCCTCCTTTCTCGTTCCTCGCCAGACACGCGATTTCGACCCATTTCTAGTCGCCGAAAGATCGATGAGGAAACTTCCCTAGAAACCCTAATGTCTCTTTCAGCGAAGTCACAGGAGCAAGACCTTCGAGATTATGCGAAATATCCAGCGGATACTCTCATACCTTCCTGTTCATTGAAAACCTACTCAGGATGACTTCCGTGCAGGCTAGTTACCGATCGAAGAGCACGATCGATCCCTCGATGTTTCATCGAACAGTTGTGACATCGTTATCTAGTCGTTACCCGAGTTATACCGAAGCGATTCGTGGCGCATACATCGCGATTCTGTCTAAACGAGATGATTTAGGATTCCGAAGCTTTCGTGGAATTAACGGAGAATCGAAAGTTGAATGTCTAATAACTCGATGGGCAGACTGTCGATGCGTATGCAAATTTATGCGAATATTAAACACCGATTTAGGCAAATGAGAATTTACTTCGTGTACCAGGAATTTCATTGAATGTGCATTCAGAGACGCTATAAATGTATGAATATTGACAGTCCTGCGATCAATCGATAAATTTTCTTCGCAAATTCAACCGACTGAGTAAGCTACATGAATTGTTGAGGACCCATGTGAAATTTCATTTTTCCCGGACTTTCCTCCGAATTTTTACTTTCATTGACATTAAATTTCAACGATTTGAACTTAATGGATAATTGTTTAATGTAATAGAAACTTTGATGAGTATCCCAGAATTGTTTCAGATTTTTTGAATGCCTAAAACAAAATTGTGCCTACCCAGTTGTGAAAAAGTATATTTATCTGCAGAGGGTTAAATGGTGCATTTTCCCGTCTTCTACGCGGATAGTTCTGATAAGATTGTTTAAGTTTATTGTTCGCCCCGTCTGTATTTCTCGAGAAGAGATATCGTTCCTTGGTTTCACTGGTGGAAGGTTCATCCAACGAGAGGACTTTCGTCCGGCAATTCACGCTGGAATTTCCAGCGTCACCTGAGAAGACATTTCCTCTGGTTCGGAAAGTTGAAAGCACCATTAACTCCGGGGAGCTGATTGATTGTTTGTGCCGAGCGTTGATGCATCGCCAGGACAAACAATTGTGACAATTACACCAAACGTAAAAGGTTCTTTCGTTTTGCTAAGAAAATTCGGATTTGTATTTAGCAATGCGTGATAAATAATAATGCAGTTATTTCGACAAATACTCATGGCGATTAAAGTTAACGTAAAAGGTACTTTTTGGGGGGGGAAAAATGTTGGTACTTGTACGTAGCAACGTGTACGAAATAATAATTCAGTTATTTCGGGTCTCTTTCTCTCGTGACTTTCAGGAGAATGGAATTCTGCTCAAGAGTTGGAACAATTTTAATTAGAGATTCGACAGCGCGCAAGTTTCGCTCGACAAAAATGGGAAAAGTTTGCTTTTCTATTTAAAGCATTTTTCGCGTGACTCCATGTTGCTTTTGCAATTACCGGGTTCGCTGAGAGGAGCAAATGTTTTTGAAAGAACGGAAAGTTTTCCATCGTTTCGTCGATCATATCGAAACGACGGAAATTTTTATAAAGTCACTCTTGACTTTTTCTAGCACGACCAGGTTGCAGAAGGAATTTTTTCACGATTTCGAGTTAATAGTTTCGATTCCTAGAATTGTTAACTGTAATCGTGAAGTTATCCTGGCGGTAAAATAATAGATTAAATGAATTTTAATCGAAGAACCTATTCGTGTTGCAGCACCAACTATCGAAACGTGAACTGGCTACCATCAGCGCCAATGCTGAAAGGTACATAGGCACGCAGGGCGGTGGAATGGATCAGGCTATCGCGTTTCTTGGGAAGGCTGGTGATTATCTCTTTTTTGTACAGAAACAAAATACTTGAAACCTTCTGCTATTCTTTAGCAACTTTCTATAGAAACGTTTATTAACACTAGAACTACCAAAGCCAGTCAAAATGACTGCTTAGTACACTCTAATAAAAATTATTATAATGTTGTAACAATACATTTTCTTAGATATTTCCCAAAATTACTCTCAACACGAAAATGACGAATTATTTGGAATATTTTAAAGAGGTTGTCTTGGTCATCGATCCAATAGAAATAGATATACATACAGTTTATCGTCGGTAGTTCTAGTGTTAATGGTGATATAACGATAACAAAATAAATATAAGGAAGTTATTGTAAAGAGATCGACAGCCTCATATAACAGGGAAATACTGCATTGGTGTTTGGAGAGACAAGTGATCGAATAATTTCGAACTATATTTATGATAACACTCGTCAATGTCCATGAAGGTTCCGCGATGCTGATCGAATTCAATCCGGTGCGCGGCACGATTGTTACTCTGCCCGAAACCGCGGTGTTCGTAATAGCGCACAGCCAGGCTTGTCACAATAAGGCTGCCACGACGGATTTCAATTTGAGGGTTGCTGAGTGTCGACTGGCTGCACAGGTAACGTACCCTCTTACGTAATCGAATATTTCAATTGAAACGTAGAATGATAAGAGAAGAAACAAAATTAAGGAAGTATAAATATAAGAAATAAAATTTAATTTTTTTTTTGGCAATATAGTGATATGAAATTCCTGTGATGGTACATTATGTCTCGTAACTATAAAACAATCTTGAAATTTTGTACTTAAGATTCAATTAAATCAAGTGTATTGCATCGTATTGAAAAGCAGTACTTCTCTGTAAAGAGAAATATTAGAGATTTGTGCACATCAAAATTTCGTTATTGTTTCATAGCTGTTCAGCCGAAACTGGGGGCTTCAGATAGTTTAGAGATTTGAAATGCAGTGTATAGCATTAAAATAACGTGTAAATTATGTAGAAATTATATAAAATAGCGATACTGATAATAAAGTATTGATTTAGGAATGAAAGAAATTCATTCAAGTGATTCCTTTGACGCAAGGGAAACCAATTTGCAATCTTTTAATACGAGGAGAGATGAAAGAACGTGAGAGAAGTCTGCCACGATAATGACGGCTCTGACAGTCAAAGACATATAACATTCAATTTGATTATTGGTTTCAAGCGACTATCGAGCATTCGAAGAGTTTCAAAGAGACTAACGAGATTGCTTTTCGATTAAATTTTACGGCTGTTACACAACGGACTTTGATCGATGCGCTTAGCACCCAGAGTTCCCTCTCTGTCTCGCGAAGTAACGAAGTACAAGTATGAAAACCATCCGAACAATCTTCTCCCGTTGCAAAATAACAAAGATTGCTGTCTATGGAATGGATTTCAGTTCGTGAAACAATTAACGAAAGGAATTCGACTGTTTTGTTGCGCAACCTTCGAAATATCAATGGAATGGAAGACGCTTTAACGTTGAAGGAAACATTTTGGTATGAAACTTCGTTCCCATAAAGAATAATTCTGAAGATTAATTCGGTGCAATGTGATTTTTCATGAAACTTTAAATTTACTTCGAAGACGTAGTGTTTTCGTAATCGTTGAAAAATTCAAACCTTGAGAAGTTCATCTTTATTTCGGAGAAATATATACAAAAAGTAGGAACACCGTGGAGGATAGATGAGAACCCATGAATATTCCATGAGCTACTGCGCGCGATTTATTTTCATCGTAGCTGTTTCCGTGTTCGCAGATAATAGCAAAGAAAAAGAACAAGGACTGGGAACATGTGCAGAGATTAATCGACATCCAAGAGGCACTCGACATCAGCGTGGACGAAATGGTTTCTGTGGTAACCACCGACCTTCACGAGGAGCCATATACCTTAAACGAGGTATGCACTTGACGTAGAGCCCTAATAATAAGGTCATCGATATCTTTCATCAATATTGAGGTATCGAAAGAACTCCCCGTGTTAATCGTCGCGAAGAACAAATGAACGATAGAATAAGTCGAATGTGTCACAGAAAAGAAACTCAATAGCATGTGAAAATTGGGTGATCGTCTGGGTGAAACTAATTTATAAGCAAATAATGCGCTTAAATGATCACAGTCGTGGACATCGATAGTTCACTAAACAATAACTAAATCCTACTAATAGCAAAAATATTTTACTTGAAAATCAATTGCTAAATTTAACAATAATGAAGGACGAACAATATATGAAAACGAATTGTAATATCTTTCAAGTTGGTTTAAGTTTAAAAAGGGAAAATGAAACTTACTTAAGACTTATTTATACTTTGTTTGTTCGCAAAGAGTGTTCTTCGATAATTCAGTGTTCCTCAATTTCCTCGATTCATGTTGATACCAGGGTCATGTCCGTAGCAGTCTCTAATCTTCGTTGTAGGAACTAGGGATACGACCCTCGTAATGGCACGATCACTGCCAGACATTATTGATGGGGACATTTTTGTACTATTTCAAGTCGACGGCCTGATTTTTTTCCTTACACTGACATTTTCAGCTTTATGTAATAACCCCCTTATACCGATGACTCTCAGATATCGGAACCCATTTTCTCCAAAGATAGAGATTCAATTCGTCCAAGTTTTAAATACCAATGATTTAACAGCTTTATCGTGTGGTCATTATTAGCAGAAATGCAAATTGCTTATTTAGATCTGCAAGAACCTGGATACAACGATCCAGAAGCTCAAGGAGATCTCGTTCCTGGGATCTTTCAGCGACTCCCAAACGTTCAAGCTCAAACAACGGGCCCTGCACGTGTATCAAGGTAATGGGTCCTTTTTAAAAGAAATTGATGTACGACTAATAGAAAGCTATTATTCCTGATTCGCGGTAGGTCATATTTATCAATACGAAAATGTTCCCGGGAAACAGGCAGGAGTAAGGCAACGATTCCTTGTCCCACCATTTTTCTCGAAGGTGTTCCGCTCGATTGCGCGTGCACTTTCACGGGAATAATTCATATATGCAAATGTTGATGTTACTTACAGGGAAGGCAATCTACTGGTCTCTGAATAATGAAGGAATTCTGACCATCAGGTCACTTATTGTAAAATATAGGACGTTGAAGAAAAATGCTGCAGCATTTATAGAACCGTCAGTTATAGATCAGTTTTATAATTCTGTTATTTACATATCCATTTTCATCATGGTTCTCCAATACCATACGCCATTTTTATCAAGCAAGACGTCGAATGGCAATTTCATATTTAAACTATTCTATTAGTCTATTAGTCACTGAAGCAAATTAAAATCACCATGAAACTTTAAGAATCGTTCTCCAATCGATTTACAAATCGCTCGCCATTTCGTCACGACGTTCTTCATTCTGTGCGGAAAATTTGAATCTCTCGATCGGAAGCAGTTTCGTTCCAACTGATAAACACTTAAGAACTCAACTTTCTAGATGATTTACCAGGTGATAAATACTGTCTCGAACCTTCAGAGAGTCTCCTGTTCACTCAATTCACAATTTGATGACAAGTTCAGTTACAAATTTCTGTTACAAAAGCCCGTTGATTGCCGAGCGCGAGCACTTACACCTGTTCCTTTACGAAGCAATGAATTTTCACGACAGCAAGCGCATCGATTGCGGTTATTGTTCATTCTCCCCTTTGTACTGTGTTCCGACGAATCCATAAAATTTATTGCTCTGGAAACGCAACGGAAATCACGTGTAGAACGCTCCACCATTGTCTCGTTTTTTTGTTCGTCGCCACGTTTCCATACGCGAAACCGATCAATGGTCAGATCTCATTAGTTCGATAAATTTCCTTTGACAGCCGGGCGAAATATTCAGCGTTCGAAATTCATATTGAAAATCCAACGAAATTCAACCCCCTATATAGCGGGGACTCGTTATGACTGTCACGCCCATGCGGATAATAGCAACTCTCTTTACCTAAGCTACTTAATACGATTGAATTTCATGCATTTAACATCGACGCAACGGGGCGACACGCTCGCTATATTTTCAGGAACGATCCGTGCACGCGAGAACGATACAGGGTGATTCATATTCATTTTCCGGATGGATCGCGTTATTACGGTTAGGCAGTCAAGGGCGATTTGTCATCGTGATTGTCTTGCATTCTAGTTTCTAAAATTATCCGTAAACAACACTTGTACTTCCATTTTTTTAAAAAGTGGGTAGTAAAAAAATATATTCTCTGTACTGAATTTTGTCTCATAATCAGTTTCCCCGTACAGAAGTTTTATTCAGTCAGAAGACAAGTATCGTTTTATTAATTCTTAATATCTGCGGAATCAAGCTGTCTAATCTAATAGTAAATAAAGTATGGAGGTAAAAAATGACCATTTCGTAGATCGCTTGGACAAGAAAAATTCTTGCAGGACAAAAAAAAGTAGGTCAAATGTGAAAACGGAGCAATAATCGAGCTCACCTGACTGTCACTTCTACTCATCTCAACAATAAATACAAATCATTTAACAACAAAGATAGATCTCGGAATCCTGAAACCAATGATATTTGTTTCAGTCGCATACAGCTATTAGTGCATGAAATATTTAATGTTCAGTGCCGATGAGCCTTCGAGCACTTGTCGAGGATTTAGTGTAACCAGTACGACCGCGATGATTCAGCCTGTAGAGTGCTATATATATGTTATAAATGCACACGCGCCAGCGACGTTTCCTTGTACGCGCTATTGCCGCGATTATTAAGTTTCGATCGATTAAACGGTCGTATGGACCGCGTGTTTTAGAGGCGGGCCGAGTGGTGGCATTCCGGCGTGTGTGCGAGGAGAACGCGTTAATGGAAGCGGAGAAGCTCCGTGAGCTAGGCGGCCTGATGTCCGGGAGCCACGGGAGCCTGAACAAATTGTACGAGTGCAGCCATCCAAGCGTCGACGGGCTCGTCGAGAGGTCCATGAGTTGCGGTGCGCTCGGCGCTAGGCTCACCGGGGCCGGGTAAGTCTGAACGGAGAAAAGTGGAAACCCCCCACACCCCTCATTCGCGACCCGGAGGACCCGTGAATTCAATTTAAGAATGGACAGATACGATAGATACCCCTCGTATGATCAAACGGAACGACGGAAAGGAGATTCCGTCGGATCGTTGATTCGATTTAACCCACTGCGCGGTGCTTGGATCCTTATGGAACCGAGTTTTTAAAAGCTTCATCTATCTCATCAACCTGTGAATCGTATTTATGCTAAAAGATAATGTTGAGTTACGATGGAAATAATGTTTTAACCACCTCACTGCATTTTTCTGGTATCTTGTGCAAAATTTTTTAAGGAAAAGGACACCGAACACGATGTTATTTGAATCGTTTACAATTTATCAGAAGCGATCAGAATGAGATAACATGAAATAAATAAATATGATACAAATGTATATAATGTTTGGTGTAAGTTTCAATTCGATCATCGGTTAGATTTCAAATCAATTATTTCATGGAACATTATGACAATTTTGAGTATATTCAAAGTTTGTTAATGCAGATTATAGATAAGTATTTCAATATTTAATTTTTTTTAACGTTAGAATGCATGGTCTTCTTTAAATAGCTACACGAATGCAGTTCGAATTGGATTGCCAGGTATTACGTAATTTCTAATTAGAAACAGGTACAGGGAAATGAGATCATTAATTAAATTGCGTTTTGAGGGAGGTCGTTGGGAGGTTGAACCGAATAAAAAAGTTCCATAAGTATAATACACAAATTTGCTCCTTAAGATAAATGTTAGCCGAACATAATCAACAGGATGAAGCTTCTACAAATTTGACCTTAGCAGTCAGACGACGATTACATTCTCGTTAGTTCCATTGATGGATGAGATGTGAAAGTAATGCCCCGATAAAACAGTCTTATCGATCACTGTGCAATACAAGCAAGAGATTCTCGGAATTATTTGTTATCATGGAAAGTATCTCATCAAACATAATACTCCAAAGACACCAGTCACGTAAACCGTGAGTTGATCTTGTACAACAAAATGGTTATCACATCGAATCACGCGAAACAAGTCGAGCCATTATTTAATTATTGCATAAAGGATCTTTGATCTGTTCGTGGTCCGATAATGTCCGCCCAGCCTGCCGAATGTATGTCTGTTGACAAGTTCGTGACACACCTCGGAACTCCGCCAGTTACGGAACTTCCTTTATAACCTAGCAACGATGAGTTTCATCCCCCTCCTCCTGATAACCGGCGTTTCGCCAATGGGAAACGGCCGCGTAAAATTCCCGTGGATCGAACACGGAAGAAGCCGGGGGCCGGAAACGAGCGCCAGGGTAGAACGGGTTAATCGTTTTACGATGAAAACGGGACGGAACTTTATATCCAAGCGCGCGGAGGCCGGCCTCGAGGACATCTTAAACGACTTTAAAAATAAGTTCGACTGTATTTCAAACTTCCACGATTTCACGTGACGCAATTTCATTCGGGTACTTCCTCCCAACCCCTCCGGGCGTCGAGATCCTCCCCGAAATTAATCACAGCATGGTTTTCCTTGGGTTTGATCCTCCTTGGAAGTGGGGCTGATCAACCTGCTTGAAATGAACGGCGGAGGGAATTGATGTTGTAAACATTGTAAAATGTTTAGAATTTATAGCCGAACCAGAATGATACAATAAATTGTTTAATTTAATTTATACCAAAACAGAAAGTAGAAAGGAGTTTATATTTTTTTTTTCACGACCTTTCAATGTCGAATGCAACACTCCTGCCGAGGGGATGTATCAAATCGATCCAAGGGTGTGTTTGAATTGCCGGCTTAGTGTGCCAATGAAATTGCTTTTACAGCCTGGGAACACGCGATTATGGTCTCTATGTTGTTTCGAAATTTTTTTGTTTAAATTACTAAATTTATATTGACTTCGATTTGACTTCGTTCCGATAATTGCGTCTATCGTTTGATCCAAAGATTTGGAAACACTGCATAAATTATAAGATACGACAATCTTAAAAAACTGTAACTGATCGTAGAGATTAATAGCATTCAGGATGAACTGTCAGGAGAGAATTTATCGCACAAGATAAATGATTCCAATCGTCTGAACAACAATTTATAATCGAATACAACTTACACCGCTATACAAACGTCTATCACGGTTTAGAATCGATCGAATCGTTCGACCACGATATTCCACGATGAATTAGTGAAAGTATAACCATCCGGAACACAGAGCTGAGGGTTTTCATTTTTATGCAGGTGGGGCGGTTGCATAGTGGCCATCACAACGAAAGACAAGGTTTTCCAATTTGTGGACGCATTGAAGAAGGAGCTCGCTCGCGATGAGATAAAAGATGGATTCAAGCTCGACGATCTGGTCTTCCCCACGGAACCGAACCAGGGAGCGGCTATTTATACGACCTAGTTTCCCTAGCCATCTTTTACCGACCTCTTCTTGAATTTTAGAAAACGTCCTATGGACAGTCGATATATTTACCAGACCGTAACTAGTAGTTGTCATGTTATTTCTCTATACACCAATGTTATGTTGAAAAAAAAAATGGTAGTCGAATCAATGGAAATTATATCTTGCCAGATGTACCTATCTTTGCGGACGCAAAGTTTTGAGAAGAGGCTGAACTTCGAAATAACATTTACCGTAGCATTTAATATAGCTCTTTGAATGATTAGCGAAACTGCTTCGTGCAGTATACAGGGTGATGCGATCGAAGGGTCGAGGAACTTCCAAGAACTTCGATAGCACGAATATTCCAACTTTTCTGACACTGTGCCAGTTCGTAGAAGACCTCGATAAAAATATGATACGGTATTTGTTTCGTGCCAGTTTTTCGATCTTCAGGGTGAAAGCAACACTTGAAGATTAATGTCTGTTACTCCATTTTTCCTGTACGTTTCGAGAACCATAAAACTATGTAATAAAATCGTTACAAATTTCTAATTCGGATGAAAGATTAAAGATTGTTTTCGTATTTCCTTCTCGGGTAAAAGATTTGTTCAGAATTAACTGAACGTTGAAGGTAATTACTACCACTCTGAAGATCTCTACTTTAATGCAATTGTCTTTCTACGTTCCTCTTAATTTCTCGATCCCTTCACCGCCAATGAGTCACCCTGTATACGATACAAACCATAAAATAACTTTAATTCTGCCAGTACCCCACATTCAATATATTTTGCATAGTCAACACCCACTGCGTGAAATACAGAAATATGTAATATCACCCCCATCGATATTTCAAAACATCCTTTCCAACTTTCTCCCAGGATAACTCATGAATTTCGTAGAAGTCATGGTAAAGTAATCTCTGTGAGTCGTCTCAGATTGATTTACCAGCACACGATCGTGAATGGAATCCTGCGGGAAACAAAGGGTACACTCGTCATCGACATCGTGGGACACCTCCTGGACAGACTCGAATCGACGATCGTTAACGGTCAACAAAGGAGTTACGCGACGAACAGAAGGACTTACGGTAGCGAGCCTAGAACTTCTGTCGGGGCTTGAAAGGGTGAGGCGGAACAGAATTTGTCAAGGGAATATTTCCGTTCGACCTACATCCGTCCGAGAATGTTCTTACATGATCCAATCCTGAGAATTCTGTCACGGACACGGAAATTAGAGTCAGCTGGTCGGCCGTGACTGATTGCGAATTTGTTCGAGATACGAAAATTCTGGAGCCGAAATCGTCGTCATACTCATAAATAAGTCAAAAATGTCGAATAACGTTTACTCATACGATGTTTTGTTTTCGAAACAATCGAATTTCAATAATCCGTTGGATACGCGTGCACTTGAATAAGATTTTTCTACCTCGTCTGTTCATAGCATTCCGTTTCTACTTAGTATCACCACGTGCCACATATACGTGTGTCGGATGAATGTGAAAAATTGATTACCTTGAAAATGAAGCATCCATACGAAAGTATTTTCACATCCTTTCAGATTCTACAAACAATTCAGAAACACCCACTATAACTAAAATGTGTTCCTTACCATTATGGTATTTATTGTAAAAGACCTACCCAGTAGAAATACTTTCTATATTCAATATACCTCCAGAATAAACTATATTCGTACAAATCCTGGCCATACTTTTTTCCCAAAAAAAATCTTTCTCTACGCATCAGCCCGGCAAACGATATTACAGTTAAAACACCGTAGAAAGTATCGGAAAATGTCTCCGGGCGTGATTCAGCTTTCCAATTAAATTTCCCGCCATTCCTGCGGGTTTTATTTTGCGTCCCCCTCGCGGATGATCGATACCCGTGTACACGAAATTGCGAAACCGTAGCAGAGACTTCTTTTTTTTCAACGTGAGGCAGGTCGGCACACACCTGCCGTCCTAAAGTCCGACGCAGATATTGATTTCTCGCCGTCAGTCCGTGTCAATATAAATTCCCCTCCCCGATAAGAAAGCAAGCTACGATTCAGCGAAAGTTTGGTCGAAAGCAACGAAAGAAAAAAAACGTTCCCTTCGAATCGATCGAACGGATGGATAGATGGAAGCTCCTTTAGCCGGTCCAGCCCTTCCACCCCAGAATGAAACGAATGAAAAACCGAAATCAATTTTAGTCCTCGATGGGACTTCTTCCAGCGAACGTTCTCATGGAACAGGATGATTTAAGTTCAACCGATAGTAATGGAGGTCTGAGACCACAGTAATACCGTCAAACTTGAACACGTTTCGAATCCTGAAAATTATACACCGCCATCCCCCCCTCACCGAAAATGAATTATACTTTTTCCGTTTTCTTTCTTTTGAAAAAAAATTAAAGGTGGTGTATGATTTTTTGTATGGACAAATTGTCAAAATTATGTTCTTTTTGTCATTAACAATATTCTTTTAACAGACTTCCTGTACCCCAGGAGGACGTTAGAACAATACCTTTCCAACAGTCATCCAGTTTCCGGATAGACCCAACGATCCTCGAACATTCCCAGCGTCTAACAATGAACCAGTGTCTTCTAGTCCCGTCCGAAAGTTTAAGTTTCATCCGTGGAATGATTAATTCGTTCGCCTTTATTGATCAAGCGAAAACAATTTCGACGAAGGTTCTTAACGCCAGTGTACAACCACGTCGTAATCACTCTTCCGAACTTCGTCGAACTCTCCAGGCATAAGTAGTAGCTCCGACGTGAAGTAGTTAGTATTTCACGATTTACGAGGGACTTTATGCACCGCGAAGTCAGTTATAAATCATTCGGTGTGCGTGACACGCGACGTCGTTCCAGCATCCTGGATAATAAGTTCGAAGTTTTGCGAGGCGAAATTTCCGTTAAGTCTCGGCGGGGGTCAAGCTTGGGAGAATTATAAAGTGGTTTTATTATTCCAGCTTTCAGAAGCCGATTTATTATGCAACGTAGCTCGATTGCTTCTTCGAGGGTCGGACGGGAACTTTCCGATAGTAATATTTTCAGTGTCCTTTGTTCGAAATTACGGGACAGTTTCTGTACGGTGGAGGACGTGCGCGAATTTCTCTACGGAGTGAATTGCGCGAAGGACGAAATTCATTTCGCGCCAATATCGTCTCGAGACACGTGACCGCAACGCCGTGAAGTTCGCTCGCGTAGTGCACATGTAAGGAAAATGGTCAGGAGCTTAGGACTTGGAAATTCCGTCGTGTGAAACAAGTCCGTGTGTATATTCGTAGGATGACAATCCCGAAGTACATGACACGGTGGGAGCTTGAACTCGTCAGAAATCCCGAAATTGATTTACGTTGAGCTTGCATACGGCCTATCTGATGACACCGAGACCTCAAAGTGTAGGTAACTTAATGCATTGGAACAGATACGAGAAAAGATCCTATGTTGTAATATTATCTTGTATAATTTACTGTTTCACAAAACGTTGTAATATAGTCGGGGGCAAAAATAGACGAGTAAATAAATAGAGAAAATGAAAATTGACAGGTTAACTCGAGTGCAGTTTCGAAATTTAGAAAAGAATCAATCGTGGGATGTTATTAGAGGTGAAAAAGCCAAAAGCACTATTTCCGACGTAGAACAGATGAAATAAAAATTTCAATTTCCTTCCGTGGGATACGTTGTAATTGAAACCTGTAAAATAAAGTGGAAGTATATTCTTGTGTACTAGACATTATTTTCAAAGGAAAACTTCGCTTTTCCTTTTGCCTCGTGGTGCTTGAAAGCGGCTAGTGGGAAGAAAGTAATTAAAAAAGTTCTGAGAAAGAAGGTGCGCACGGTTTGCGGCGCAGTGGAGCGATAATTTTTCTACATCCTCTATCGTTGAGTGATATACTCGGTTAATGATACGGCAAACGCACTCGGAAGAATGGTGCGGACCTTTCTATACTTTTTCTTTCTCGCGGTGAAAAGAATAAAAGTCTCATTTTAATAAAAGTATCATTATCCTTTTGTTCCGTGCCCCCGAGAATTAGGGTGAAATGCAATGAATAAATGACAAAATGTTTGAGATACAGTGCCTCCGTACAAAAGTTTCTTTCGAACTTCTTTAACGCCAGTTTTAGTCCAGTTTCCTGCATTGAAATGCTCGTAAAACGTTATTTATTGTAAATCTTCTGAAGCCTTTTTAGTTTTTTCTTTTCTTTGTAGTAAGACGAGCTACTTTAAAGTTTATTTTCCCGAGCAATATTGAGGTCGTTGTTAAAAGTATACCATGCTTCATAAGCGACCAGACTTCACAGAGTTGTTTGAAGACGAGAAAAAAGAAACTACCCCCAGAGAATTTCAGTCAACCTTATACAGGGATTTATAAAATGTTATTCATTTTCTTTCATATATTCCGAAGACATGTTAAGATTTCTTCATTTCACATATTTCACTAGAACGAGTAACAATATTTTGCACGTGATAGACTTTTGACCTCAACATAAATTCAGCTATGAACTACTTATAGTCACTATTTATATCATTCTCATTGCTTCAATATATCTTTCATTTCTTACTAGAATAATTGAAACGCAAATCTGTTTATAACTCGACAAGTTTAGAAATTAAGATTTATAAGCACTTTTCCCATTGTTTCGCTTTGGCTGATGTGTTTTTTATGTTATGAAAATCCCTCCGGAGCTTAGTACAGCGGCACGTAAAATGGTAAATCCTAACATTAAACACGAAAGGTTGAAATACCGACTCGATTTATAAATACCGTATTCGTCCTGTGTACACACTACGTGGGGCAAGACTTCGTTTGTTTATCCCACGCAGACGACGCTCGGCCATGTTATCCTGTCGCGTGGCAGGTCAAAGGGGCCGAGCCTCGAATTTATTCAGATTCCGTAACCTATTGATACGCATATCGTAAAAGCGCCGGGGACCGTACTTTTGCCCTTCGGCAGAAGGAAAAAGAATGTGGAAAGGCTTCTTATTTTCCCCAAGTAAATTCCTGCCCCGACTGTTGTCCCTCCCTTAAACGTCTTATTTCTATTTGGAAAACCATGAAATTGCGAATTCCCGCTCAATTGGTAAATAATTTCGTTCGTGAATCAAGGAACGTCCGACTGTATGTGCTTTCAAGAATATTTACTTTGAACGAAACGAACGATGCCAGATATACAGGGTGTTCCTAAAATGTGGAATAAAGCTTTATCTTCCTCTGAAACTTTGTCTATTGAAAGCCAATTGAGAATTTAGAATAGCAATGCCAAGACTAACGAAATTGTAAAATTTTGGAGCCTTGCCTCGTTCGACTTTTGAACGCTATATGTCTTAACAATTTAGCACTAAGAAACTTTGACTCTATATTTTAGAAACTCCCAGTGTAATACTCGAGGTTCTAATTAGACCGTTTCACAAACGATAATCACTTGAGCAGGCTTCCTCTGATTCCCTGTAATTAGAAAAGCGATTTCAACCGGCAAGGATCTCCGTTTCGACGTAATATTACGAACAAAAGTGCAACCGAATCGATTCTTTGTCACGATAGTCGGATTAATTTTGTTGCAAACCGCGCAAAAGAAACAACGCCAACGATGCCGTAATAATTCGTGTCTCACGATTCATCGGAGCCTCTGGAAGGCTGGCGAAAAAAAATATACAGAAAATGCAAAACCTCTGGTGCCCGGCGAACAAAGGCGCCACCGTCCATACTAATTTCTCGGTCGATGTATCCTCTTTTGTGAACCATGCTACCATACCTCTTCCGGGTGTACAACTATTTTAATAAAAGATCAGAGGCGGTTACGGAGGATTGAGGCTGGCCAGAAAAAAGGTGTACTCCAAAACAACACGTAAATTTACCCTTGTCAAACGATGCGCTGGCCAATACGGAGCCAGAAAGATATTTAGCATGTCTGGACCTCGGAGCCAGAGTGTATTAAGACACACTTTTCAAATTTTAAATGAGAGCAAATCGAAGGTGCAAAAACCTTGTATTTCAACAAGAAACAATAACTAACCTTCGAACTATTAAATAGAGTTAAATAGAGTTAGAAGTGGTGAACATTGCATTAAGCTCCCTATGCGATGTACCTTATGACTTAATATCACTTGCACACTATTGTTTTAAAAGCTACGCAACTTAAAACGAAATAATTCTCACCATTGAAAAGCATAAAAAATTTGATACAGGAAACATGGTCAAACGTAATTTCTTTAAAAAATGTGAACTTAATGCACTCTGTCTCTGGGGTACAAATCTAGATCTTTCGTTTGACGAACTTAAGAATAATTTGGTTAACAGAACTAACCTCAGAAATGATACAAAATTGGTCAATTTCAGTCGTCCTCGTAATACCAGCTTGAACTAAAACATTTATGCAGTTGAAATTTGTATAGGTCCAAGTGGGCCCAGGTCACCTAAGCAATTGTCTTACGAAACTTGCTTTACTATTAGAAAATCAGGAAACGAGACCAGAGTCTATGAACCAATAAATCTTATCTTCGCGAATGTTCCCGTCGGTTTTATTTTTCTCCTGTTACCCCTGTCTTTTAACTGTCCAGGTCCTTCTATCGTTGCAATTTATAGCACCTTCGCGCATCTGTGCGGTGGAAAACTGGTACCTATCGCCTGCGGCGAGTGTGCCCTTCCCTTCTCGTTCGCGAGATAAATTCAACGAAATAGGTGTTCAGCTGTCCATAGATGTCCTGATTTATGCCAAGTTTCTTCGGAAAAGTGTTCCCACCCCCAGACATTTTGATCACCCGGACACTGTGAAGTCGTCGACACCCTCGTAAACGTTAAATCGTCCCGGAACAACGTCATTAACGGTTATTAGCGGTTTTAAGACGGATCACAGGGTTCGATGTCGACGTCGTAATCCCTTGCAGCGACGGCGTTACGTTTCCCTCGTATATAAAACTTTGATGTCTGACGGCCAATGAAACGTCGCGGTTACCGTGGTTCTGCAATAAAACTGCAAACAGCCGTGAAACGAGGACGGTACGGGATCGACAGAAAGTTTAAAATTAATATTTTATATATCCGATGATATTTGAGTAACCGATTGGGTGATGTTCGTTACGTAAACTACCGGTCAAAGATATGAGACCAAGTATGATTTTTGAAAATTTACCACGAAAAATATGTTAAATCAATTTGCTTTTATTCCCATCAAGTTCTTAATCGTCAAAAATTCAAAATTTCACTTCGCACTAGCTACGCTGTTTACGTATGCTGAGGTGTGGTTTCTGAGGTTTAATTATCACTAAAAAAATTCACTTCACTACCAAGCCGATCCGCCAAAAAACCACGTCTTCACAAGCCGTTGAATCGCCACGCGAAAAAAAATCCTGACGATCGTGGAGGTTAATTGACGTCCGGATCGAACGGAACTTCCGATAGTAATGGCCACACGGGTGGAACAAAGCCGCAAAAATTGCCGTAAAACCGAGCCTCATTACATATGCATGAGACAGGATACGATTAACTCCCGCGGTAAACGGTAAGGAGGCCCGCGGAATCGATCGAACGATGCTTCTTCGTAGACGTGTGAGTAGGTACTACGATCCTTGCTCACGAAAACCCCCGTTTCATCATCGGAAGATCCACGAAAGTTGGCCTGGTGTGCCGCCCGACGATGCTTTGTCTCCATGACCGTGGCCAAGGAACGGTAAAACCATTCATGAAATTCGGGGGGGGGGGGGGTATAGGAAGTCGAAATATGCTTGGTATCAGGAGAGTTCGTTCCATCGTTTTTGGAATAGATTGCCAAAGATCGTGAACATGAAAATTCAATAGCGCCACTGTAATCTTCTTCTTTGATCTCTTTTAACTCAGATATCGATAAGCGATCGAATTATCTGTTCGACGAATAAAGTGAATTTTTCAAAAATACTCTTATATTTTGCTTTCGTTAATTCACACCTTTTTTCTTATTTTGTTTCACTTTTGTTTTAATAATACTAGGGTAGAACTAATAGGGAGACATACGTCTGTTCTGATAACCGGTTTTTTATATAATTGGTCGCAGGGGAATCAAAGTTTCGTACAGATTCTATACTGATACAGAATATGGTAAATTCTTTTTATTTATCGTTGTCCTTAGAACCATTGTAGTTATCATATCTATATTTTACGTATGTAACTTGAAAAAGTGAAATTAGTATTTTATTTGGTTACCCTCATATGTGCAATTGTACGAAAATATGTTCAAATAATGATTTTCACGAATGAAAAAACAGTGATTCCTTTTTGCGATTTTTTCCAATAAAAGCACGCGTTAAGTGTTTAATTCCGTAGCTGTTTGGGCTAAAAAAAGACTCACCCTTGTTAACAGGTTGCTGATTTATATTGTACCTGGAATGTATCTTACTTTATCCTACACTTTCCAAGAATTCCAAAAATATCGACGCCACTTTTATTCGAACCCTCGAAGCGGTAGCGTCATTAACGCGGAATCGATCCACGTTGGAATTCCAGCGCTGACGAACGACACCGCAAACTCCGGGTCGTTTCGCGCGTTGCCTATCGGGATGCTAATGAAACTCGCATCTCCGGGGTGAAGTTTTTCCATTAGTATCCGACAAACTCCAACTCCTATGTCCCTGCGGGATCCATGATCCTGTTTCCAGGTGAGCACAACCCGAGAGCGTGCCTACCCCTCGAAGGTAACGAGACGCGTGTCGACTAATATAAAGCATCCTTTTCACACGAATAAAAAAAAACGGGAGATACTGTAATGAGAGACGACGTGATACCCGCTCGAGAGAAAATGTTATTTTACTTTTTTAATAAGAGGTCGTTCGTGTGACGAATAAATTGACGACGAATAGGAATAGCGTACTCGACCTTTATCCCTATATTGATTCAATTATAATAAATTATCTGTTAGTTTTTTGAAGTTATAGTCAACGTGTATTAATAGACAGTACAGTACAGGTGATCCCCCGTATAACATGATAATTAGATTCTTAAACATTGCTGTTTTATGCGAATTCGTATACGTAATACGAAACGAACAGGGAATATATACCGAACCTGCACGCGTTGATTTTACTTAAAAGTTATATAGGAGATAGCTCTCAAAAAAATATTTGATACATATTTTTTGTTAACGGCCATCGTCCATGTTATGGGGATGATAACACCCCGCAAAAGTTGAGGGATGAAAATATATTTTTTGGAATACCTCGGAAACTAGAGGGAGTAGAAAAACGTTTGTTGCTTTAAAATTATGTGTTTTTGAATGGGAAATTTAATCATATGAGAAAATTGAAAAAAAATTCAAATTTTTAATATATTATTTAAACAAGTAATGTTTACTTCGGTAACCCCGTTGACCGTCTTACACAGGGGTCGCCTGTACAGTAACAATGTCCGTAAATATCACAAGAGCTTTCATAGTATAGATTGAACAATTTCCAAGTACTTAATAAACGTGAATTCAGAACATAATAATATTTTATTTTGTAATTGAAATTCATCCGTGGAAAAATGATACACATGTAATGCTCGTGAATCCATCGGAGGCAAACAAATTATTCGACCATACGTTCACTTGTTCGAAATGTAAGCTCGTTTTGTTTTATAATTAATATTCACCAGTTTATTCCGCACACAATCAGAAACAAGGTATGTGTTTTCATTCCCCCCGATTCGTTATTCGACACTCCCGTTCTCAATAAAACATTTTCCCATCTGGGGTGCAAAATTTGCTTCCATGGAGAACGTAGTGCGCACGCGTCGACCGAAGTTTTCGCGCCGCGTAACAGCGTGAGGACCGGCAGTTAGCATCGAGCCACCGTAGGGGTTGGTTCTATAACCGTCGACCGGTGATGTTTTCGTTACCGTGACCGGTCGCTAGATTTCGAATTCGATGATTTCCATCGATATGATTTACAACGGATCGTATAATTCAGTGTCGATCGATTAGTGTCGCGAGACTTTGGTTTTTTGCCGCGTGTGCACGTAATGTGCGGTTAACCACGCGACCGAAGCATGGCTATTATGCAGTCCTGTTGCTGCTGGCGATCCGTCAGGAGGGGTAGTTTCGCTTGCGCTATTTATTCGGGGGTGAGTATCGAATTTTCTCTATATTACCATAAATTCAGATTCTACTTTGTTCGATTGTTCCTTGCATTATCAAAGTTTTTTGACGATTTGCATTTGACTCCACCTTTTATAATGCAATTAATTAGACAAAGTATAGCAGCAGAACTAATGCAGCATAAATTGAATCGGAAATGCTGTATAAATTGTGTCCTTAATTTTTTTCCAATGACAAAACGAAAAAGGTTTGTACACCTTGAGAAACTGGCCAAAAAAATATTATTTAAAAGTTATAAAATCCAATTATCAAATATAGATCACGATAAAATATAGAGTCTTAGGAAGGGTGAGAACTTTGCAGTAATTTAATATTTCATTAACGTATTACCGACCTGCAGTTGTTTAACACTGGAACTACTAAGCAGGTCAAAATTACATGTCAACACACTCTTGCAACGATGATTAAAATGTTATAACATTTTCTCAGAGCTTTTGTAACTGTTATTACGATATGAAAGTGAAGAAATTAATAAATTTTCAAAAGTTTGTCATGTTTATTCGAACAACCGAAATAGATATTCGCGTTTATCGTCGGTAGTCTTAGTGCTAATAGCTTTCTTTGACAGAACGATCAACAGCCAAGGCCCTATTAATAAACGATTCGGTCATAGTAGCGACTCACAATCGTGAAATATAGGCATTTTGTCGATAAGCACTTAAATTACAAAAGGTTACTAATTGGCTATCAATTAAGTAAAGTATTAAAATAGAGGGGTAAGAAGTATTAAAATAAAAGATGGTAATTAACCCCCGCCAAGCAGATAAAGGTTCACTCGTGACCCTCTTTTCGTGATGAATGTGGCTGGGAGACCACTATGACGTAGCACTTTAAAGTATAATATCGGTAAAGTGTACGAAACGCGTGATGTGTACGTCTAGAAAACGCCACCTGCATGTAGAAATATTATTTTATGTAAATTATATGAATAATGAAATAGGTCGAATAATTTATTTTGCACGGACACATTCTTCCTCTCTATACAGGGTGTACCAAGAAAAATTACCATCGTAAATGTCGTTAAACGTTCAATTCAAATAACGTTTCACTCACACGTGTAATTTGTAATTTTTAAAAGGATTGAGAATCAAAGAAATTCAATATTAATATAATATTTATCGACGATCGGTCAGAATGTGCAAGATAATTTAAATTTACTAAATAGTTCTTAATAAAGTCCACCCTGAATAATTGGAAAAAATATGAAAAAGAATATGAATTTAAGTAACAATCACAAAGCAAATGTTACGGCCAGTAAATTTCCTCTCTATTCCAACTCTAGAAACATTTTTTTTTTTTCATTTTTAACGTTTAATTCGATCTACAGCTTTCTACATTCTACGCATCTCTTAATTAATATGGAAACACGAGTAATTAAAAAAATGTCAACGTTAATCGCGTATTGTTTCGCGTCAAACCCGACAAAGACGAGAAAATAGATTTCATTCTGTTTGGAGAACATTCTGCTCGCCGGTTGAACACAATTAAAACGCGCGAAATACATTTCGCTGTGGACGACACGAAAATTAAAGAAGGAAACAACACCTGGTGGCCGAGTTTAAAGTGGACATTACTAAATTCGAAATTCTTGGAATCGAATGTACACACCGGCGAGGGGGACACTCACTCGTTTCCCTTCCGTAACAACGGAGAATTTATGACACGAAAACGGGGCTCGCATTAATCGGAACGGAGAATAGAGGCGGCGCGGAACGAGTAGAATTTTTACACCGCGGTTCTCTCGTTACTCAACTGTCTTGTGTACACCATCGAGCACACAATTTGTCGACTCTTCCTGACTTTGGGCTCGGTGAAATACATACTATCGTCATCGTTCTTCGAATCGAAAGTCTGGGGTGAACGTTTTCCGAATACCCAGTATTCAAATATCTGAATATTCGAAGGTCCTAGTATTCGAAGGTCCTGGTGTTCGTAGGTCCTAGTATTCGAAAGTCTTAATATTCGGAGGTTCTAATATTCGAAGGTCCTGTCATTCGAAGGTCGTAGTATTCTAAGGTCGTAGTATTCGAAGGTCCTAGTATTCGAAGGTCCTAGTATTCGAATGACCTAGGATTCGAAGGTCCGTATGTTCAGAAATGTTTTAAGAAGGTACTTAATGTTTAGAAATGGATTTTCTTTTCGTGTAATTCAAGGACATTGATTACCCGTGACCAAAATGGCAATCAACAGTATCGTTTGCACATAAATCAAAACGGAGAATCGTCAGAGCACCGTGAATAGTGATTTACGATGAAAATCTGTAATAAAAAAAAGCAGTATAATTTAACGAAATTTCAGAGTACATTACACTGTTCACTTGATTTCCGGCGATTGTAACCGATACGTAACCGCCGAAAAATTTACGTATTCGTGAGATGTCAGAATTAATGCGTTTTATTGCCACGGCATGGTCGTAAAGAGGGCAATAAACAGGTGTGCTGTAATGAACTGCATCGCATGCCCGTCGGTACTTACGTGCGACAAGAGATCGTAAAGAAAGGAAAGAACGTAGTGTCTGGAGCTACTCGATCGTTAAGTGGCGGGTCGAAAATCAAATTCTCCGTGAAATCGTAGTAATACTTCATCCTCAACTGTGTATATCTATTGTTATTCCTTTTTCCTTGCAGTACATATTAGTACTGAAATCGCGACTGAGACAGAAGTTCTCATAAAGTTTTCAAAACATAATATTTGTAGAGTTCAACACAATTATTTTATCTATAACATAAAAAAAAATAGAGATTCAATCTATCTGACTGTACAAGTGCAAAAAATTGAGAAATGATTTGTCCATCTATAAATTCGATCTCCCGCGTAAAAGTGAACGACATAAATAAACGCCACGGGCGCAATGACGTAATAGTTATTTATGTTATTAATATTTTCTTTCCATAACTTCGAATATTTTTCGACGGTTCCTCTTGTGCCAATTTTTCGTGCACCCCATTTTTCGACTGTCCCCGTTGTTCCTGTATTTATATTCGTCTGTATCCTGTGATTCTACTGAAATTGCATGAACAAATACGGACGAAAATACTCATGAATTTTCGTCAGAAAGAATGAGGCAACTTTTCATATGAAATCATAAAGATAAAATATATATCGAATAGTTTGACGGAACTGCCTTTTTTTGTTACTGTACGGATTTATTACGTTACTCCAGTAAACGTAAAATATATAGATATTGGAAAACATGGTAGACCAAAAATTCCTTAGAACCAAGGTCCCTGGAAATACGATCAAATAATATGGGACCAAACTGGATGAAATTTAGTTGCAGGTAAATAAAATTTCGGTGATTAGATTCAGTTTGGCTTACCCTCGAGTTTGCGATTGCCGGTGGAAACCATCACGTAACTCGATTCGAGTGCCCCCCGACTCCACGGAAATTCAACAAGTTAATCATGCAAGGTATTTGATCGGATGTACAGCTAGTCACGATCGTTTCAATAAGTATGATAATCATTATTGAACAGTCAATAGAACATCAACATGTTGGGCTGAATTTGAAATAAAATTTGCTTGGAAATTCTCAAATGATTGTATCTACAAACTTTATTACTCATTGGAATATGTTAAACACGCAGGGTGATTCTGAATTAATACCAGAATATATGTAGATATATAAGGTGCCTTCCAAGTGAAAAAGTAAGTCGAAAATATCGAATAAAAGTTTTTCATTTAAGACCTCGTTTTCGAGAAAATCGACTTCGAACATTAATCTGTAGTAAGTAGAAACAGAATGCAACGACCAGACGCAGTAGTAAAGTCCTGTATCAATTGCACGCCTATCCAACAGATTTTCAAATTCGATTTTCTCGAAAACGAAGCCTCGAATGAAAAATTTGTATTGGAAGATAATTTCATTTTTTCTTATGAATTTTACTGAATATTTTGAATGTTGAGAAGATAAATTATTGCATAGAGATGTTCCAATTTCCACTATTGTTTGCACGAAAGATCAGCATCGTAGTCGTTTTTGGTTTCTTCGTAGATAATACAAGTACAAAGCGGCGGGATGCAAAGTTAGGTCTAGGCTCGAGGTAAATAATAAGCATTCAGCTGCAGGACACTGGGTTTTCCGTATAAACTTGTTTGTTGCGCTACGTGGAGCAATATACAAACGGTGCCTCCGTTGGAGTGGCTCGGACAAACTTGTAACTTCATACACGATACACATAGTTTCCCATAAAAAACTTTACACGTGTACCTATCTTCAGATTCTTCGTTGGCGTTTTATTCTCGACGAACAACGTGCACTGTACAAACACGTGGAACAAGTTCTTTTTACGTGTTTTTAGCTCCGTGTGTTAATTACACGTTGCTTTTTCCTACAAGCGTTCGGGTGGTAATGAACATCTCGCGTTTAAGCTTCTGAACGGTCTAAACTTTTTATCGTACACTGTACTTCTTTTTTTGTAACTACCTTACATTATTCTGTAATTGAATTTATCAAACTACGTACACACATTCGATTTTAACCTCGCTGTTCCCCTCGGGTTTATAGGACCCGAAATGGAGATTATATTTTTAATATTTAATGTATTTAAATTTTACGGCCACGTTCTGTGTACTTTGCATTTTTTAACCTTTTAACGCCCAGTGTTGCACTCGTTTTAAAAGTGCGCGAAATTAAATAAAAAAGTGAAGCAGATTTCAGCGTTTACGATTTATTTGGGAAATTCAGTATTCTACGTTCTCAGTTATTTATACTCCCCCTCGAAACCATTTAACTTGTATGTCAATCATTTTTTAATGTCGTCAAAAACAAGCGAGATATACCTGATGATAAAGTTAAGTGGACCACCGGATATATTCACGTTAATACATTCGAATAGTCAATACAGCCTCTGACAAATAATTCCTCAAAAATTACGTTATTCCTTTTGGCTAGGGTATGTCTCTGCAACCCCCTGTTTCGTCCAACACATTGCGCATCGGTGTCTTTCTTACACGTGTAGAGAAT